CATTCACTCATTCACTCACTCACTCACTCATTCACTCACTCATTCACTCACTCACTCACTCATTTGCTCACTTGCTTATTTCATGCATTCGCTCATTCATTCACTTAATCACTAACTCATTCACTTAATCACTCATTCATTAACTCATTTAATCACTTATTCTCACTCTCTCATTTATTCACTCACTCACTCATTCACCTAGTCATGCATTCATTCCATCACTTAATCACTCACTCATTCATTCATTCATTAACTCAGCAATACACTCACTCATTCACTCACTAATTCACTCACTCACCCACCTTCACAACATTTACTGAACAGGATGTACCAGGCACATTTCAAGGAGTCAATGAAAATAACTTTGCAAATGAATGAGTTGCGATTTTTCCAGAAAGCTTGCAAAAATAAGAGCTGCAGTCCCTGGGTGTGAAAATGGAGTCATGCGCAGCTAGCCAAGGTGGGAGCAGCTTGGAAAAATCCCTCAAAAAGGTGGGGTCTGTGTGGAGCATCCCTGTGGCTTTGACATGCTCAGGGGGTTGAGGAGTTTCAAAGCTATGGGGGAGCACTACACAGCTGGGCACCAGGTAAGGAAGGCAGTGACGCGGGGCTCTATCCTTGTTGGGAGGGGCCTGGTGTGGGCTCTTGCCCATTTTCCATGAGGACACCTCCCATCTCTGGGGTGACCAGGCCAGGTGAAGTGCTAGTGAATGGTCCGACTCCATTTTTTAGCCACTGATTCTGCCTGCACAGCTCAAGTCTTCCCAGACCCACTTGAGCTTAGAAGGGGCTGATGTCTGATCTCATGCTGTTTGTGTTATTTTATCTTCCTGACATCTCTGCCACTGAAACATGAACCAGGTTCCAAGTGCTCAGCGTGTGCTTTGCAGGATGCATGCATCACAAAATGGCCCCTCGAACCAGCATGAGAACCAGCTGCCTGTGCAGCTAGCCCCCTACCCAGACACGAGGTCCTTTTCTTCATGTCACTAAATGGACAGTTCTCAACCACCACTGCTGGTGATCCTGCCCCCCCCCCATCATGTCTCTAGTTGCATAAAGAAAGAGGCCACTTGATAACAGGAGAAACAAGAAGTCCAGCTTCCCAGGGTCAAAGGTACCTGGACGGCTGTAGTGCTGGGGCGACCGCGAGGTCGGGGTGTAGCGCCCGAGGCTGACCGACCCAGTGGAACTTGGGCTCGAGGTCCGGCACTGCTTGTAGGACCGGTCATCCTGATCCCCCTGGGAGGGAAGACACAGCTTGTGAACAACTGAGCCAAAAGCACTGCCCACCCCTCACTCACCCATCCACCTCCACTCGGCCTCACCCAAGCAGCTGACTCACCTTGGCCCCAAGAAGGAATCCCCCTGTACCTCCAAGGCACATCTGAAGAACCAAGTGGGGGCCAGGCCTAAGCATGGTCCCTGTGCCCTCCAGGTACCTACCCCTCCCCTTCATCTGCCCTTTCTGCAGGCAGGGGCTTCCACAGAGATGGTAGAATCACGTGCATCCTCCAGTTCCCCTCCTGCCTGACCTTTCCCAGCACCCAGGCCTCCCTGGAACACAGTTTGAGAACCACTGAAACTTCTCCAGTCCTGACAGGGGCCCCTCATGTGTGAATCAGGGACTCTGAGGGCTCTGTAGGCACATTTGAGGTAGGAAATTGATCCTTCCAGGCCTAGATGCCCAGTTGAGTCAGACCCACAAGCATGGACCATGCAGACCCCACCCAAGCGGGAATGGGCAGCTGTCTAGAGAGGCTGGAGTGGGAGCAGGTGGCATGAGATGGCATGGCACTGTGGCATGTGGGGAGGCAGGCTTGGCCCAGCCCTGCATCCCACCGTGGGGTGGACGCTACTGTCCTGCCCCCCAGGCCAGTGCTGGTGGTGAGCAATGGGAGTGTGGTCTGGCACTCGCGGCTCCTGTGGCCTGTCTGAGCTTCCCTTCCCCTCCAGGGCTCACCATCCTAAAGCTCGCCTTGGGCACCTGCCTCCTCACTTTCTCAGGCCAGCTCTCAGGCCATATTTTCACCTGTGCCCACCCCACAGCCACAGTAGTGCCTCTCCCAGGTGGCTAGAGCACTGCTGTCCCTTCTCCATCCCTTGGTGTCTCTGTCCACCTTTGCACATCCCTGGCAGCCAACGTAAACTTTATGAGTGTCCTGTCTCCTTGCCCAGCCTGTACATGGAGCTTGTGGTTACATGTGGCTTTAGAAACTCAGCACGAGCTGGCCTCTTGCATGTTTGGTTGTCCTGTTACTGGATCTGAGGGTTTGATGCCCAGCTGCTGCTGGCTACAGACAGGGCAAGTTCTTCCCAGAAAAACAGCACATTCAGGACCAAAATGGTGTCCTAGTCCTCCCACTGCCCCCAGAACTGTTTCTAAGGGGACAGGTCAAGGAGTCAAGCGGAGAAGCCAGGCAGGGGACTCTGCAGAAAATTCTGGTTCTCCAGAGCTTCAAGGAGCAAGGGAGGGTCTCAGCCTGGGGAGATAAGGAGATAAGTTCTCCTGGGACCACTCCTGAGGGTTGGATTGGGAAACTGATTGAGGGTGTGGACAGCAGGATGCAGGCAGGTCCCAGCAAGGAAGGCTGAGGTCCCAAGGCCACAGTGACCATCTCTGGTCCAGAAGCCTGCAGATGGCACACGACTGTGCAGTCTCCCACTGACCAGGTGTAAGCCTGTGTGTCCAGCTTGGGGGTCACAGCCCGAGAGAGGGACCAGGCTTTGCAGTGAGACCAGGCTCTTACTAAGATTGTGCATCCTCTCTCGGGCAGACCCTTAACCTCTTGTATAAAGTGGAGCTGACGTCCCTCCCTCACGGGTTCCCTGTGCAGGAAAACGGGGTAATGCGAGAATGCTCAGCCCCAGGCCTGGCATGCAAAGGCCTGCATACACAGGAATCCCCACTGTAGTAACTGAAGGAGTACCCACGATAACCGTGGCCAGCGCACAGCTCCTGTGGGGGTGACTGTCAGGAATGAGGAGTCGGGGAGCCCTGTGGGGTGAGCACAGGCTCCAAGCTGCTAGCAGGGCTGGATCCTCCTCTGTCTCTTTCTGTAGCTTGTGACCCTGGAAAGGTTATTTGACTTCCCATGCCTCTCTTTCTCCATTGGTAAACTGGTAAAACTCATAGGACCTACCACAGGGGGCCATTGCGGGGTAAGTGAATTAATGTGTATAAAATGCTTACAACAGTGTGAGCACAGGGAAAGTGCCCAAGAGCGTGGCTGGTGGCACCATTCTTTATTCCTGGCTGCAGTGACATCCCTGTGCTGCAGCTGTCTGGGCTGTCCAGTGCAGATTGGAGTTTGATTGGCAGCTATCTATAGCATTGATTAATCTTGAGAAACAGGACTGCTAATAGTAAAGGCTATTTGACAGGGAAACACGTTCAGAATGTTTATCCACGAGGACCCAGGTGCTTTCCATGTATCCCACTTGGAGCGGTGTGAAGTGGACCCAGGCTAACCCAGGCTGCTGGATTCTTTCTCTGAAGGGAGCCATGACTCAGACCACAACCTGCCCGGGCAAGACCTGCGTCCCAGGCACCCGTGTTTGCAGGGCCAGCAGACACACACAAGGGAAGCATGCAGATGGGACACGATCATAAAAATAACCAGTGCCAAGGAGGGCGCCCCAAGCCTTGGAGGGCCACAGCCCCAGCCTCCATGGCCAGGAGCCACAAGGCCCATGTATCCCACTTGGAGCGGTGTGAAGTGGACCCAGGCTAACCCAGGCTGCTGGATTCTTTCTCTGAAGGGAGCCATGACTCAGACCACAACCTGCCCGGGCAAGACCTGCGTCCCAGGCACCCGTGTTTGCAGGGCCAGCAGACACACACAAGGGAAGCATGCAGATGGGACACGATCATAAAAATAACCAGTGCCAAGGAGGGCGCCCCAAGCCTTGGAGGGCCACAGCCCCAGCCTCCATGGCCGGGAGCCACAAGGCCCTGGGGGTGTGGCTGGGTGGTTATCTTTACAACCTGGTGGCAGCGCCGTGAGCAAACAGGGGACAGGCAGGAGGGAGGGAGGTTACCTCAGTCGGCGTTGGCGAGAGCAACTGAGGGGACTGTGGACACAACACACAAAGTGCCTGTTAGTGCCGCGACACCCAGAGGGTACTTTGGGGGAGAAGGGACAGTTTAGTAACTGCAGGCAACACAGGGTGCAAACATTCACATCGCAGGACCTGACCCACCAAACAGGAAAAGAATCCCACTATGAGAGATGCAAAACAGGACTCCAAAACCTTTTTTGGAGAAATATGGTCAATGGCACCCAGAGAAAGAGGTCCCCAGGAAACTCATCTTCTGTCTCCATCCCGGCCGCCGCCCTGCCCTGCCCCCTCTCTGCCCCTTTGCTCTCCCCCCTGCCCTGCTGTTTTCCCACTCAGACATATTTTTTGAAAAGGAAGACTTTTGGTTCAGGGCAGGGGGTGGCAACATCCTGTGAACTCATCCCCTCGGCTTTTTCTGGAGAAGACAGAAAAGGGGGCTGGCAGAAAGAGAGGGTGGCTGGGGTCTCAGGGTGGGGGTCAGGCCTGGCTCTGCTGGTGGGGCTCCAGGCCTGGGGAGGTGGTGGCCCAGCCTCCGAGCTAGGCACCGTCTGTTAGAGCAGGTGAGCTCCACCGGCCACCCGCCGACGTGTGGCCAAGACCCGGTGAGGACGAGGGGCCCAGCGGGTGGGCCAGGATTCAGAAACAGAACGTCTGTCCCCACAGCAGCCGGTGGAAGGCACTCCACTCGCAGGAGCTATCATTGTTACAGCACAATAATACAACCATGTCTGGGAGGCCTCGGGCGAGGCGATGGAATCGAGGCAGAAACCCACCAGGGCTGTCCTCAGGCATCCCGTGTGCACACAGCTGACCAGGACAGCCTGCCTTCGTCCTCCTATCGAGGGACTTGATGGCAGAGGGTGGAATCTCAGCCAGAAGGGAGGCCAGCCCAGCTGCTCCATACACAGCCCTCCCTTCCTGCCGCTCCTCGCCCCCTTGGGGACAGGTCCTTGGGGCAGGAATCATCCACGGTTCACATATGCCCTGCCATTTGAGGGGCGTGGCCTCAGAGAGGCTGAAAGAAATCTCAGCGTCAGCAGCCAAGGACCCCATCCCCATGTGGCCCTGGAAGCTGTGCTCTGTTCAGGTGCTCCTTGACATCATGTGATCCTTGGACACAGGACTGAGGGTAACCACACACCACACCCCTGCACATGCACGCCCTTCATGGCTGCCATATACTCCCAACGCAGCTCTGTGAGGTTTGCACAGGAACACGTGCACTCAGGTGAGGAAGGGGTTGGCCCAACGTGCCAGGGCCGTGAGGATCCAGAGCCAGAGCTGGAACCCAGCGCTCTGGACCTGGACCCCATATCTTAGAGGAGGCGTGAGGAAGGGTTAAGAAACAGCCAGCACTGGTCTTTAGGGAAGAAAGGCCTGGATTCGCATCTCGGCTCTGCCGCTCACTGTCTGGGGGAGAGTGGCTAAGCCTCTTGATCTCACTGACTCTTCCAGTGCCTGCTCTGGGCTCGGACCCGACACTGGACCATGAGCCCTGCCCAGCTCCAGCATGTGTCCACGGGTGTGGGCTGGGACGCCCCTCCTTCCTGCCCTCCCACGGCCTCCACAGTGTGAATGGGGCTTGTCGCCCACACCTGCGGACTCCCTGCCTCCGCAGGGCCAGCAGCCCTTCCCGCACAGCCCCCGAGCTCCGCAGGCTGCCCAGCGGCTGGGAGGCGAGAGGGCCACCGGGCTGGCCTGTGCACCCACACCAGGGTGGCACCCTGGAGGCTCAGCCCACACTTCCCGAGAGCCCCAGCGCCCAGGCCACGCACACACAGCACACACACTGAGGCCGGCGGCCCGGCGGAGACGACGACTCCTATCCCAGGCAGCTGCAGCCACGTTGAAGTCACAAAACCACAAAGAGAAAAGCGAAACCAACAATGAATTCCACATTAAATGGAGAAGAGCAGTTTTGAATAAGTCACTAAGGAATGAAGGACACTGTCCACAGGAATGACAGGAAATAAATATTTTGTGGATCAAGCAGGTGAGTCAAGTTGGCTCAAGGGATTCACGGGACAGAGGAGCGTGTCGCGGCTGTGGGGGTGGCACGTGGCCGGAGTGCTCTGGGTGAGGAGGAGGGGCGCACTTCATGTGTCATGAGAATGATCCAGTACTTAGGAAAACGTGAGATTTTCGCTGAGCTTCTGTCACTTTCCCTAAAGCCACCATGCTTCCCACCTTCTGCTCCATTTAATGAAGTTTTCCAGACTTGCCCCCTCAGTGCGGGGAAGAGCCGACTCGGAAGTATTTAAATAAGGCGCACACAGGCCATCAAGGGGGTGACAAAGCTGAGCAGGGAGGACGAAGGAAGCCTGGCTGCGGGACACACCAGGACGACGGCCCACCCCACCCCGGCCCGCCCCGCAGGGTCTGCATGCGGCCGTACCTCCCCGTAGCTCTGCCTGTCCCCTGTGGAGTGGCTGACGTAGGGCGAGTAGGAGATCATGTCGGGGCGGTCGATGTTATAGATCGCCTTGTTTTTGGGAAGAGCAGCCAGGTCCCTGTAGTCCAGGATCTCATCGCCAAGCTTCGCCTGAGAGAGAAAGAGCAGAGGGCAGGGAACGGTGAGACCCACGTCCTCAAGGGCACTGACTGCACAGCCAGAGGGCGGCAGTCGCCGGCCACCGGGAGGAGGACCCGGAGCCGCAGGGCTGCGGAGCAGAGTCTGAGCACACCCCCAGCTCCCAGCGAGGGTGAAGTGGGGCAGGGGTCAGAAGCACAGGGGACTCTGGACCAGATGGGCCTGGACCCTGAGGCCCAGCCACATAAGAGCCACATGCCCTTGAGGGAGTCTCTTCTCTGAGACTCAGTTTCTTTCTCTACAAAGTGGGGGTAATGATCGCACAGGATGGCTCTGGGTCAAAGGGGTCAAGCCTGTGATGTGCCTGGCACAGGCGTCGCAGTCAGTGAATCTGTCCGTGGCTTAAAAATACACACACATATGTGCACACATGCACACACACATGGCTCACATGCACGCACGTGTATGCTCACACGTGGAGAGTGTGCCCATCCGAGGCTGTGCAGGTGCACCCCCACAGCCCTCCCACACTCGTACACACCACACTCACTCCTGCACACCCACACACTGGCACATACCTGCGCACCCAGACTCCCACGAACTTGCATGCACACACACCTGCAAGTAGTTGCACACATAATCACACCACCAAATGAGGACATGTTCACACAAGTCCACACTCACATGCTTGCACATACACATGCAGTCACCCACCCAGCACTTCTGGGCACCTACAATATGGCAGCAAAGTGCCTGACATTTGACAGGCCAGCTGGGACATGACCTCGGCGGGGTCAAGAACCTGCTGTCTTGTCCGTCCCTGGACCACACTTGGCCACAGAGGGTACTCACTCTTGCTTGCACTTGTGAATGAATGCCTGCCCCATGAGAGCCACCACGTCAGCTCAGGTGAGGCCCACCTGGCTGTGTGCTGCCCACTGCTCTGTGACTCTGCTCCACCTCCCCCTGCATTCCCCCACTGCTCACATTCTGTTGCCCCCACCTGTCCCCTGGCCCTGAGAGCTCCCCAGGGGCTGCCTGGGGCACTTTCCAGCCCCAGGTGGTTCTGGTCTAGAGCCCGCAACAGCCCCCTCCGGCCTCTCCTGCCGGGGATCCCTCTAACAAAACATCCCAACGGCAGCAGCTGACACCATGAGCTCTCTATCCTGAGACAAGCTTTTTTTTTTTTCCGTGTCCGGCAACGGATCGCAACCCTCAGTGTCGCCCCCGTACCGGACCGGGACTGGCAACGGGATCGCAACCCTCAGCGTTGCCCCCGTGCCTCGCTCAGCCAGTGAGCGGGAACTGGTCTGTATGTGGGATCCGAACCCTCGGGCGGGAGCGCCGCCACGCTTCCCAAGCGGCGCACTATCCAGTGCGCCACCGGGCCGGCCCAAGCTTTTTACCCTGTATTATTCGCTTACAAAAAATCTCACAAGGATCTGAGGAAGGGGGCACTTACAGCAAGTCCTTTTCACAGATATGGAGACCAGCGCCCAGACAGGCTGGATAACTTGCTCAGAGTCACACAGCGCGGAAGGCATGGGGCTGGACGCGACCCAGGCTGCTTGACTCCAGAGCCCATGTTCCCCACTATTCCTCTTTCCTTCCGCAGGCCCCACTGCCAGAATGTCTCTCGAGCTGCAGCTGCATCACATATGTATTCCAGCTCAATCTCCAGCAGCCCCCTCCTCGGTTGGATGACATAAGCCCTGGCTGCCACCCCCAAACTTGGCCTTCATGTTCCCAGCCTCTTTACCCTAAGATGTCTCCTCCCCATGCCCCCAGTGTGCCAGGCTCAGTCCCCCACTCCTGTATTCTCTGGAATCTAGAAGTCCCCAGCCCACCTCCTCCAGGAAGCCTTCCCTGACCACCGGCCTCCAGGGCTCCCCTGAGCTGTTGGGCCGGGGGTGAACCCTGCTGCTTGCGATGTACAGTAAGAGAATGGAGTCCCGATGTCCCAGACCTCTGGCTATTCCCTTTGGAGGCTGGGGCAGGTTTCAAAAGACCCGAGATCAAGTCCTGAGGCTGCAATTTGTAATCATGATAGTTAATTCCCTGTCAGAATTTTTCAGCTGCTCCCCTCTGTCTTTCAGGGGAAACTGAATGTAGGCCCCTGGAGGATCGGCCCTGTTGACTTGTTTCTCCCGGTCTCCTGCTCCCCCGACTCTGCGCCTCCTGTCACCCTGAGCTCCTTACAGTTCCCGATCACTCAGAGCCTGAGTGCTGTTCCCTCTCTGGGGCGTGCCCTTCCTGCCCTCCTTCCCTGGCTTCTCTAGTCCTTCAGACTCAGCTGAGGCCTCTCTCCCCCAGGATCCCTTCCCTGGCTTCCCCACCTGTGTCAGGATTTTTTCCTTTAAGTAAAAGTGCTGATCTTCATCTGTTGAGTGCTGTGATCTGTGACAGTAGGGAAGGGGAGGGACGTGTGGCCTCCACAGTGATATGTCCCCTGCCCCAAGACTGGTGCCTCTCAGTTGCCCAGGACTCATCACTGAGTCCCTCTCCCTAACTCCTAGCTTGATGGGTACACTTGCCAATTGAATGAAAATCAGTCGAGCTTTTTCAAGAGTCAGGTGACTTCTCAGGGAGAGGCCTGCATCTCACAGGTCCTTGTGGAGGCCATGCCCTTCCTCTCCCACCTCTGTCCCCTCCCCAGAGCTGTGATCACATATCTCAGCATTAAGATCACAGATCACAGTGTTCACCCATCACTGGCTTTCTTAGCCCAGCCCCAGGCATAGCGCATGGGTCAGCGAGGCATTGCCCTGGCTTGGTCCACCACGTTCCTTGTGATCCCGAGCAATTGCAGCCTTGACAGCAGGGACCAGAGAGGGTAGCCCGCACGATGCCAACAGCTGCTGATCCGACTCCCAGACAGGTTGCTAAGTGGCCTTGCAGATTCCTCTTCTTCCATGCCAAGTCCTTGGGCTGTTGCCGTGACAACAGGCTATGCTCTCTAATTGGTAAATGGAGGACGGCCACTGGGGTGTGTAGGCACAGCTGGCTTTCTCTCTGATTTCTTCTTCCCCACACTTCATCCGGAATAACAATAGTATGGCCACATGTAACACTAGAGATACATTATAATCCAGCCAATAGTAATATATAATGTAACGATGCTGCTCTAGTACTAGGCTTTATTGCCATGGCAAAAAACAGGGTGCAAAACCATATGTTCAGTGTGATTTCATGTTATTAAAAAAATTACACACACACAGGGAAAAGAGACCTATGGAGTGTCTCCAAAACATCAGCAGTGGCTGCTCCGGCTGGCAGGATAATAAATGGTATTAATGTTCTCCTTCGTGCTGATCACTATTTTTTCTTTGGAATAAATGTGCATTTATTTTGGAATAAAGAAAAGAGGGAGTAAGAGATTATTTTAAATGCCCCACAATTTATTGAGCTCCTACTGTGTGCACGTTTTATCCCTGACATGAAGATGATGGAGGCACAGCTCCTGCCCGCAGGGACTCACAGTCCATGGGGTGACAGCAGCTACTCGGAGAATTCTGTTCCATTCCCATGCACATGGATACGAGGGGGGACCAATCTCCTCCTGGCTGGGGGGCAGAAGGGGACACCGCTCCCCTTCTGGAGTGGGCCTAATGCCCAGTCCTTGCTCCTTGCCCCTACACCGTCCTGTGCCCCACTCCCCACGCCCCGGGGCTCTCTACCAGACAAGCAATTGTGGTCCTTACACAAGCAATGTCAGCAACTAGTAACGATGACCTCCCATCTCCAGTGCTACCATCCAGAGGTAACTGCTGTTAACAGCCTGTCAGCATGTTTCCAACCATTTTTATACCTGCATATGCAGACATACATGCTCCGAGGAAAATGGGATTACATAATACATATCATCCTTAACACACTTCTTTTAGGGGACAGTTGGGAACACTTTCCACGTGAACAAACATGAACCCACGCCTCTGCTCCCAAAGCCTGCACCGTCCTGCCCGCTCCACGCAAGCCCCCATGACAGCTGTGCTGCGATGGTGTTTCTGCATCGCTGTAAATGACAGCTGTGCACACACCGCTTTGCACACCAGATAATTGAGGATAAGTTCCCAGAGGAATTGCTGGGTCACACAAACATGTCCCTGTTTCTGATTCTGAATCAACCTCATGAGACCCGTGCCAAACTCCGCCCCACGTCAGTGACAGCAGTGCCGGCCCCATGCCTGATGCCCACGGAGGACAGTTCTCAGCTGACTGCAGCCCCCAGGAGCTGCTCAGCAATGGCCCCGGGCCTCCCTTCCCTCTCCATGGCCCCCATAGAAAGGACCTGACTCACGTAAATCACGCGGCTTGGAGACCCCGAGGTGCTGGAAGCAGGTACAGAAATGATGCTCTCTGAGGAAGTTCTGGTCTCCTGGAAAAGGAGAGAGGAGACTGAGGACAGATGATTTTGATGTCAGGAACCGTCCCGGGCAATCATCACAAGTCATGCTCCTGCAGAAACGCCAGCTCACGAGGTGTTTTTCTTTTTCACTTGTGGGTTGAAATAATTCTTAGGATAAACACACGGGCTTGAATGAATGACTGGAAAGCTGGAATCAAACAGACACGGCGGGCCCGTGGGTGACAAGCACGATCCTGCGCTCTCACATGGTGGGCACGATCTGTTTCTCAGTGCAAGCGAGGCGTGTTCAAACAGTTCTGCCAGCTCCAGTGGCAAAGCCCATCCTCTTTGACCCACTAGTTGGCTGCACAGAGATGTTATTTCCCACCTAGATTCAGGGGATGTGTTGCAGCGAATTCCACCAGCCCATGCATCTCGTGGGAGTACTCCCTGATATCAGGCTTAGGGACAGTCTGGGTCACTAGAAAGACCATTCTCCAGCCCAGCCCATGGCTCCACGCTCCACACTGCTTGGAACAAGTGTCTCTGCCCCAGGCCTTTCTCAGCACCAGGAGCACCTGTTCCGCCCTCCACATGTCTGAGGTCACGGCTGACCACTACCACCATCACTCCCGTGGGCTCATCTGTGACCTGCTTATGTTCCTCCTCGAATGGCCACTGGTGTCTGGGACCACTCCTTGTCCCCTCCCGCCTCCCTGAGTACTCCTGCTGCGTCTCCTGGGCTGACCGCCTCCTCCACTGCAGGCCCAGCCCTCTCTGTGTGGACGCCTGGCAGGCCTGTACCTACTGTCTATTTCCACCTGCAAGGCAGGCCCTGCCCACCTGGCGGCTCCTCACCCTCTTCTGGTGCAGCCCTCACCCCTGGCTACCTCCCCTGCCTGGCTTACCCACACCTCTTACTCACCCCGTCTAAAAGGAACCCATCTCCACAAGGACGTCCCTGGCCCCTCAGGAGCTGGGAACTTGGACCTCTGTCTCCCCGCAGCCCCCACGCCCTCTGCTACGTCCTTCCCAAAGGTCCCCACCTGCTGACAGCTCCCCACTGTGCTGCCTCCTCTCGTCCTGTCTAAGCAGCCCCTTTCCTTGCCCCAGTAATTCTGTCCAGTGCATCTCAGTGGATGCTGGTAGCTTGGGGGGTGCCACGTGTTATGGGAGGGTTTGTGTCTCCCCCAATTCCTGTGTTGAAGCCCTAATCCCCAGAACCCAGAATGTGACTGTGTTTGGAGACAGGGCCTTTAAGGAGGTATTAAGGTACACTAAGGTCACTAGGGTGGGCCCTAATCTGATATGCCTGGCATCCTTATGAGAAGGGATTAGGACACAGACACACACAGAGGGATGACCATGTGAAGACACAGGGAAAAGACGGCCATCTGCAGGCCGAGGAGCAAGAAACCACCCTGCTGACATGTCGCTCTTAGACTTTCAGCTTCCAGAATTGTGAGAAAATAAGTTTCTGTTGTTTAAGACCCCCATCTGTGGGACTTTGTTATGGTGGCCCCAGGAAACTAACGCAGGTGGTGTGTCCCGAGCCTCCCCCCCCACACAGCACAACACCAGCGAGGGTGGGACAACACAAGGACCGCACATGGGGTCACACAAGGAACAGCAGGAGGGACAAACCTGGAAGGCATAGGGGGTGGCGCCCGGGCAAACCTGATTGCACACTGGGTTCTGCATCTAGAGAGGAGAGAGAAGTGGGAGACGGAGGGCTGATGCTAGCCCGTGGCTCTGCACGTCTCCCGCCAGCGCAGCCCCAGCCCTCCATGCCCGAATGTGCCCTGGCACCCTCAGTCCCAGCGCTGCGTGCCAGACAGGCGTCGACTCAGGGCCTGGGCTTCTGAAAGGCAGGGGGGCGCTGAGCTCCACCACGCTTGGCTCGCAGTGCTCAGCTGCCCCCAAGGTGCGGTCCCAAGTCCTCGCCACCCTCAGGTAGACACTGTGTGATTCTGCAAAGACAAGGCTCAGCTCTGAGGCACGGAACATCAGGTCTGCTATTCCCACTGACCGCATGGCCAGGCTGTATATTCTACTGGCCCAAAATGATATATGCATAAATTTTATACATTAAAAACACCTTTCGAGTTTCAGCTTCATTCTCCATAAAATGGAAAAACCTCCGTGAGAGGGGTTTTCTGTTTCTGAGACGTGCTCAGGATTAACGAGTTGTTACTGTTATTTCAGCTCAAGCAGGGCTCGAGAGCCGGTCCTGACAGAGAATGCCCTGCTTTGCAGAGCAGAGTGGCACTGGGCGTTAAGAGAAAAGTCCCCTTGCACCAGGCACACTGGTGGCAGCAGGAGAACTGGGAGGCCAGGCCCCGAGGCGTGCTCTATGACATCCGCACCAGCCCTGCACGGCTCTTCTCTGCACTTTCGGAAAGGTGGGCTTGTGCTGGCTTCAGCATCGGCCTGGGGGCAAGAAGCACTGGTTTGCTCCAAGCAGGTGTCAGGCGGGTGTGAGCTACAGCTGGGTGACTGTGTCGCTGTCCTCTGGCTCAGTCCCCAGCTGTGAGGGGGTAGGAGCAGAGCCTGCCTCCAACTCTAGTGGGTTAGACATGGAAGGGGAGCTGAGTCGGGGTGCCTTTCCCCAGACTGAGCAGACTGGAGCTTATTTTGACTTTCTCCCTACCCTGACTCCTGTTTGCCCAAAGAAGCTTTATAATTAACCTCAATATCTACACATTTTCTCGGTACTGAAATAAGACTGCCTTATTTAGATCCACAGAGAAGGACCGGGCAGGAGCTTGCCAGCTCCAATCCCCAGCAGCTCTGCTGCCCAGACTAGCCCCAGGGAAGCTGCTGTCCTAAGACAGCAGCTGGGGATGCCTGATTCCCATGAAGGCTATGCAGGAGTCGCACACAGGTTGCATGGACACTGTGCAAGGGGTCTGACACCCACTAATTCCCACGTTAAAGCTGCGGGGCTGAGGCTCAGAGAGGGCAAGTGACTTGCCCAAGGTCACAGAGCTGGGAAGAGGCAGAGCTGGACTCCAACACCAAGGCTAGCTCCACCACCTTTGGCTGCTGCTGAGAACCCCACTGGAACATCCGTGCACACACTCGCCAGAATGTCCTGGGGCCTCTCAGGCAGTCTCAGCAAACCTGTTTCCTCCTCATTCAGTGGCTCCATGCCCCCTAGCTTCCTCCCAGGTCCCACCCCAGAACCTGTCTGTGTGGGGGAGGCGTCACGCTCAACTCAGACCTGCGCGCACTGGGGACGCGTCACGCTCAACTCAGACCTGCGCGCACTGGGGAGGCGTCACGCTCAACTCAGACCTGCGCGCACTGGGGAGGCGTCACGCTTAACTTTTCCAAAAGAGACAACGAGGCACCTCCGGGAAAACCCCGGGCCTGCGGGACCATCCCGGCCAGTCTAGGTTCCTTCCCAGAAGTCACCCAGCCCCTGGCTAGAGCGGGAGCCCCTCCTAGCCAAGCTGTCCCTGCGGCCACCTTCACCGTTGATGGCTCATCAGGGTCCAGCCCCCCACTTCCCACCCCACAGTCCTGAAACACTCGTTCAACTCCCTGCAGATCACTCCCTTCTCAGACATGGGACTCAGAGCCTGGAACTGGGGTGGGCCACAAGACTCATCTCCAGGAAGCCATCTGTGACAACCCCTCTGGTCGGGCCCAGCCCTCCCTCCATCACAGCACTGAGCAGCCTGTGCCTCAGGGCGCACCTGTCCCATGTCTGTCTCCCCCACCAGACAGGGAGTTCCCTGAGGGCAGGGACCCTCTGGGTCTTATTCATCTCTGTTCCAGGTGCCCAACTCCAGAATGCACATAGTAGGTGCTTAGTGGCTGTATGATCAAATGCCCAGGGTTACACTTAGGGCAGGGTGGTCAGGATCCTGGGCACCCTCGGCAGACGCCAGGGACATTGAACATGTGGTACCCACCCAGAGCCTGCACAGAGGGGCACCTGACTGCCAAGCGCATGCCCCAGGAGGGTGACTCATTTCTCATCCTGACCACTGGGGCACACGGGAACATGTGGAGCCCCCACCTCGGTGACAGGTTTCAGAGAGTTAAAGACAGTGACACCATGGCCTTCCCCGGGGGCTTGTGGCTGGGCTGTCCAGGCCTGGCTGCCTTGTGCAGTCTGCACCGTGGCGAGCAGTGTGGAGCAGGCTGGTCCTCCCGCCGCCCATGGCCTGGCCACCAGCAGAATGAACCCCAAGGGGACAGGAGGTGTGCTGAGAGGGCGGCTGTGCTGAGTCTGCTCAGCCTTGGCCCCGAACACTGGCTGAAGCCAGCTGGCCTCATTTTAGAAATAATCGTTTCAAAGCAACTGCAGACAGCAGAGCCCAGGAAGTCGGCTCGGCCTGGCGGCCCACAAGGACAAGGAGCCCTTCGTCCCGGTCCCGCAGCACCCGGCTGCTCGGAGGGCCTCCCTCCCACTGTGCCGGTGACTCAGGGGCCAGCTCCACAGCTGAGTCCAGAATCTAGGAGCCGGCGAGGGCCGTCCTCATCTGTCCTCAAGGGGACCTGGCTGGGGCCTGTGGGTCTCCTGTTCAGTCTCAGGAGACAGGGTGCTGTCCCCCACGCACACGCGTGAGAGTGGTCTAGGGCCTCTCGGCTGCAGGCTCCCTCCCTCAGGCCCCTTGGTCAGTGTGGAGGGTCTCACAGACACATAGCCAGGGCCCCATAGTCACTTGGAGTCATGAACTGTGGCACTTTGAGGGCAGGGACACAGCCTGGCTCACATCTGAGGCCTGGGATGGCACAGGGGCAGTTTGTGATGAATCATGGACCGAATCAGCCACTTGAGAGGACAACTGGAATCCAGTGCACCAGGCACTACTGCTGTCATGGCCATGAAAATAACAGGCAGAACTTAGCGACGTGGCTCTTCTGTAACCGTAGGAGGCAGAATAATGCAGAATTCATCTTGCACCAAATGCAGAGCCACTGAGGAGAGGCCCAGGGAGACGTAGAGAAGCCATCACGCTGGCCCCGGAATGCAGCACTCTTCCTGTGTGGCCCTGCCTGTCCTCCACCTGCCCCTCTGATCCAACCCGACCCCTCCTCCGGCCACCCTCGGAGACACCACCTTCACAGTCACCTCTGCGTCTCGACTGGCCTGGACGTGCCGGCCAGCAGAGGGAGCCACCCTCCTAGAAGGGGCCCTGGTGCTGGACATCGCACAGGCTTGGCTTGGAGGGGCCTGGGACTGAAATCTGTCCTGAACTCCATCATACACTCTGAGCACCCATTGCCTTCTCTACAGGACAGGAACTCAGGCCTGCTGCAGGATGTCTGAGTCACTCGGGACCCTCAAGGGCCTGATGCAAACTGGCTCATCGGTAGCCTGTCTGGTGGACCGGATGAGGACTCGGGACACCCTGAGAGGAGAGGATGCAGGAGCGAGGCTGGGGTTGCTGTGATCCTGCGGCTGGACCAGGACATGGCCTGGCCTGCGGGCCATAGGGGTGTCCGCTGGGTCACATGCTACTAGCCGAATGGGGCTCTGACCCTCTGCACTGTCCTGGGGCCTATGGGGGCCATGGCTCCCTGTGAGGGTCCTGATGGGCATACCTGGCACAGGGCCTGGCGCATAGGCCTGGTAACGGAAAGCCCCTCCTGGCTGGCACCTCTCCTCCTCCTCGATTCAGTTCTGTCCTTCATTCAACAAACACCCACTGAGTCTCTGCCACGTGCCAGGACTGAGGCAGCAGCTGGGGATTCCAGTGCAAAGAGAGCTCAGCCTTCCCTCCAGGCTCAGAGTGGAGTGGAGTGGGGGCTGATGTGATTCCATGGTGCCCAGCGGGCATCGTGTAGTCAAGAGTCCCATCTTGCCCAAAGAGAGGTTTGGCCTTTGCCCTCGGTTCCCAGGAGGTGATCTTTGTCCTTCCTGATGGGAGCATCTTTGTTTAGGGAGGGAGGTAGCCACTATGGGAACACCAGCCCTGTGACTTAGGGTCAGGTGCTATCAGCTGACCTGGCAATGGAGACCACCCACGTGGGCCATGTGTCAGTCCCCCACCATACCTACATAACAGAGTCCCAGGAAAATCTTGGGACGCCACGCCTTCCTGGTTGGCAACATTGCATGGACCCCGTCACACGTGATGCTGGGTGGACAGCGTGTCCTTATTCCATGGGGCAAGGACGAGAAGGCTCAAAGTCTGGAAGGCCCCTGGCCTCTGCCCCACGAGGCTCTTTCTCTGGCTGACTCCACTCTGTGTCCCTGCCTGCCGTGAACCGTGCCATGCCAGCCTTGGTGTCGTCTGCGAGCCCTTCTAGTGAATGACCAAACCTGAGGGTAGTGTGGGGGCCCTTCAAACTTGCACCTAGTGTCAGAAGGAAGGGTGGTCTTGGGGACTGTTTGGGCTCCTCTAACTCTGCAGTTGTCCCCAAACTTTCACAGCCTTCAGTGTTCGTTGAGTGAATGAAGAGGCTGGCAGGGCTGTCCACGAGCTCTCCAAAGCCCCTGTCCTCCCTGCACTGCCACTCACCTGATCCATCTGGTCACCCCTCACCACCCCCTAAGACCTGCTGTCCCTGGCCCTCCGCCTATGGGACTGGCCAACAAGCCTGTCAGCATCCTCTTAATTCCACGAAGATTGCACATGAGCAGCGAAGAACACATCAGAGAAACTAGTAAATCCCACCAACCTTGTTTTTGTCTTCAGTCCTGGCCGCCTGTCGACACGCCGGGTGCCAGATGGAGGAGCCTGTGGACAGATCCCCAAGAGGGAAGTAAGTGTTAGAGTCATTCTCACGATGCAAGGCCCACGGGGGAAGGGGAGGAGGCCGCCGGCGGTTCACGTGTGGACTCGCTCGCCCACCACCCTCCAAGCGGCCACGAGTGTCCCCTCTGTGCAGAGCTGGTGCTGGGCACAGGACACGCAGGTCACTGTCCCTGGCCCCAGGTGGCTTGCGGCCCAGCTGTGGGGTGCAGGCATGAAATAAACCATGTGTGCCAGGTGTTCTGAAGGGGAGCCAGAGGGGGCTTCTCAGAGCAGGGGGAGGGTGTATTTGAGGTGGCTTCAAGCTCCAAGGCCGGGGGAGTGGGACGGGGCTCCCTGGGCAGTTGCCCACCTCAGTGGAGGGCAGCAGTGGGCCCAACCCTGGGGACAGCGGGGCTGAAGCTGGAGTGGGAACCAGACTCAGGGAGGGGGACTTTGGGGGCAGGGTTCTCAGCTGAGATGCGGGAACAGAGAACCTCAGGAGGGAACGGGGTCTGTTCCTTAGGGTGTGGGGTGAAGAGCAGGGACGTGGGCTGGAGGCGCGAACGCTGGGCCTGACCCCGTCACTGATTCACCGGGTCTCTGAGGCCTCCTGTGCCTCAGTTTCTTTGTCAGTTCTGCCCGGCCACCCTGTCAACAGCCACTACCATCAACATAACAAGGTCACCAGGTACCAAGTGCCACCCGTGTCCCTGATGCTCTGCTGTTTTCTAACCTCGGCCTGGCCCGAGTCTCTGTTTTGTAAAGCAGGGCTAGCAATAATCCCACCTCATCCCACCACGGGGTGAATCTAATAGAATTAAGCAGAGGTCATGGCCACTGGAGAAGGCTCTGCGAATTGTTGCATGCAAATGTCAGCTGTACTACCACGACCTTCCCTGTGCTTGGGGGCTCCCGGCGTGTCAGCCCCACCCACCGCCCCCGTCCTTCAGGACTCAGCACGCTCCTCCCGGGGCCTCCTGAACCTCAGCCTGACCTGCCGCCCTCGCCCTGCCAGACACTGCCACAGCGGCTGTCCAGGGTTTACTCCATCTCGCACAGAGGCGGGAGCTGTGTCCCGCCACCTGCGTCCTGCAGACAGGCCGCGCAGGGCCTGGCACACTGTGGGGCTTGAGAAGTGCGTGTGGACAGAAAGAGCACATGGCATCTGCTGCTCGCAAGGCCTCGCAGGCTGCGGGGGTCCCGCGGGGCAGCAGCGGTGACTGCTCCCCCCCGGCGTGTCTGCAGGGCTCCCCGGGAGACCGTGCTCCAAGTGTGTGTGTGAACCTTACTGTTTCGTTTTTTATGATTATAGAGGTAATAGATGTTCCTTACTAAAAGTGATGGAAACCTAGAAAAGTAACAAATAAGAAAGTTAAAGTCATCTGTACTCTCTCACCCCCTTTCTGTCGCCTTCTGCGTGGGAAGTGGCTCACACACCCAATTTTGTAACCCGTGACATTTGCTAAAAAGCATCTTGAACATGTCCCTGTATAATTAAGTGTCACATAAAAGTCACTGTAAGGGCTGCTTGAGAATTCATCTACCCGCTGCTCTTCCCAGCGTGTCAGTCATCCCAAACGATGCTGCAGCGCACACGAGTCGGCACAGGCTCCCTAGGATGGGAGTCTCGGCTCAAAGAGTGTGACATGGTCGGGGCTCTTGGGGTTTTTTTTTTAGCAATTTGACAGTTTTCACCCCCACCAAGATGGGCAAGAGGCCTGTTTCCTCAGATCGCACCTCCCAGGGCTCGCCCTCCCTTTGAATCTTGGTCAACTCAATGGGAAAAAGTGGCATCAAAATTTTATTTTGTTTCATTTATTTATTTATTATTTGGTAGCTGGCCGGTATGGGGACCCTAAACTGTGACTCTGGTGTTTTAAGGCTGTGCTCTAACCAACAGAGCTAACTGGCCAGCCCTGCACACTGTTATTTTAACTTGGGCTCCTTAATAATTGGTGAGAGCCAACATCCCCTCCCCCACATTTACTGGAAGGAGTCTACAGTGGGGATGGTGGGGGCAGGGGTGGGGGGTGGGGGTCACTG